TTTTCTTGTACTTTTAAGCCACTCAGATACCCAACGGGCTCGGAAACTGCAACGAAACCATCAAATTTTAGCTAGAAACTGTATTTTTGTCGATTTTTATTGAATTTGAACTATTTTTCAACGTTTTTTGATGGTTCTGAGCCACCAAACACTCTTAAAGCATGCAGAATCGTCTCAGAATAGGAAAAGGAGACGTTTAGGTCAATTTTATGCATTCTGGCGTTCGTAGATACAAGAAAATTGTTAAAATTCTTCAGAAACGTCACTTTTGAAGTGTTTTCTTGTCCTTTTAAGCCACTCAGATACCCTACGAGCTCGGAAAGTGCAACGAAACCATCAAATTTTAGCTAGAAACTGTATTTTTGTCGATTTTTATTGAATTTGAACTATATTTCAACGTTTTTTGATGGTTCTGAGCAGTGCTGAAACTAGAGAATATTTAGCTATAGGCAAACTTTGCGTTAGGCCCCCTCCTTTAAACATAAAAAATGCAATTTAACAGAACAATTTTGTTTATATTTTTTAATGAGTATACAAAACAGATACTAAGTATGATAAAATATAAAAAAAGAAAAAAAAAATTGTTCTTGTTTAGTGCAACATAATTTTTGGACGAATTTGGCGCCCCTTGTCGTTGGCGCCCCTAGGCAAGGGCCTACTCCGCCTATAGCTAGTTTCGGTACTGGTTCTGAGCCACCAAACACACTTAAAGCATGCAGAATCGTCTCAGAATAGGAAAAGGAGACGTTTAGGTCAATTTTATGCATTCTGGCGTTCGTAGATACCAGAAAATTGTTAAAATTCTTCAGAAACGTCACTTTTGAAGTATTTTCTTGTACTTTTAAGCCACTCAGATACCCTACGGGCTCGGAAAGTGCAACGAAACCATCAAATTTTAGCTAGAAACTGTATTTTTGTCGATTTTTATTGAATTTGCACTATATTTCAACGTTTTTTGATGGTTCTGAGCCACAAAACACACTTAAATCATGCAGAATCGTCTCAGAATAGGAAAAGGAGACGTTTAGGTCAATTTTATGCATTCTGGCGTTCGTAGATACCAGAAAATTGTTAAAATTCTTCAGAAACGTCACTTTTGAAGTGTTTTCTTGTACTTTTAAGCCACTCAGATACCCTATGGGCTCGGAAAGTGCAACGAAACCATCAAATTTTAGCTAGAAACTGTATTTTTGTCGATTTTTATTGAATTTGAACTATATTTCAACGTTTTTTGATGGTTCTGAGCCACCAAACACACTTAAAGCATGCAGAATCGTCTCATAATACGAAAAGGAGACGTTTAGGTCAATTTTATGCATTCTGGCGTTCGTAGATACAAGAAAATTGTTAAAATTCTTCAGAAACGTCACTTTTGAAGTGTTTTCTTGTACTTTTAAGCCACTCAGATACCCGACGGGCTCGGAAAGTGCAACGAAACCATCAAATTTTAGCTAGAAACTGTATTTTTGTCGATTTTTATTGAATTTGAACTATATTTCAACGTTTTTTGATGGTTCTGAGCCACCAAACACACTTAAAGCATGCAGAATCGTCTCAGAATAGGAAAAGGAGACGTTTAGGTCAATTTTATGCATTCTGGCGTTCGTAGATACAAGAAAATTGTTAAAATTCTTCAGAAACGTCACTTTTGAAGTGTTTTCTTGTACTTTTAAGCCACTCAGATACCCGACGGTCTCGGAAAGTGCAACGAAACCATCAAATTTTAGCTAGAAACTGTATTTTTGTCGATTTTTATTGAATTTGAACTATATTTCAACGTTTTTTGATGGTTCTGAGCCAATAAACACACTTAAAGCATGCAGAATCGTCTCAGAATAGGAAAAGGAGACGTTTAGGTCAATTTATGCATTCTGGCGTTCCTAGATACAAGAAAATTTTTTAAATTCTTCAGAAACCTCACTTTTGAAGTGTTTTCTTGTTCTTTTAAGCCACTCAGGTACCCTACGGGCTCGGAAAGTGCAACGAAACCATCAAATTTTAGCTAGAAACTGTATTTTTGTCGATTTTTATTGAATTTGAACTATATTTGAACGTTTTTTGATGGTTCTGAGCCACCAAACACACTTAAAGCACGCAGAATCGTCTCAGAATAGGAAAAGGAGACGTTTAGGTCAATTTTATGCGTTCTGGCGTTCGTAGATACAAGAAAATTGTTAAAATTCTTCAGAAACGTCACTTTTGAAGTGTTTTCTTGTACTTTTAAGCCACTCAGATTCCCCACGGGCTCGGAAATTGCAACGAAATCATCAAATTTTAGCTAGAAACTGTATTTTTGTCGTTTTTATTGAATTTGAACTATATTTCAACGTTTTTTGATGTTTCTGAGCCACCAAACACACTTAAAGCATGCAGAATCGTCCCAGAATAGGAAAAGGAGATGTTTAGGTCAATTTTATGCATTCTGGCGTTCGTAGATACAAGAAAATTGTTAAAATTCTTCAGAAACGTCACTTTTGAAGTGTTTTCTTGTACTTTTAAGCCACTCAGATACCCAACGGGCTCGGAAAGTGCAACGAAACCATCAAATTTTAGGTAGAAACTGTATTTTTGTCGATTTTTATTGAATTTGAACTATATTTCAAAGTTTTTTGATGTTTCCGAGCCACCAAACACACTTAAAGCATGCAGAATCGTCTCAGAATAGGAAAAGGAGACGTTTAGGTTAATTTTATGCATTCTGGCGTTCGTAGATACAAGAAAATTGTTAAAATTCTTCAGAAACGTCACTTTTGAAGTGTTTTCTTGTACTTTTAAGCCACTCAGATATCCTACGGGCTCGGAAAGTGCAACGAAACCATCAAATTTTAGCTATAAACTGTATTTTTGTCGATTTTTATTGAATTTGAGCTATATTTCAACGTTTTTTGATGGTTCTGAGCCACCAAACACATTTAAAGCATGCAGGATTGTCTCAGAATAGGAAAAATAGACGTTTAGGTCAATTTTATGCATTCTGGCGTTCGTAGATACAAGAAAATTGTTAAAATTCTTCAGAAACGTCACTTTTGAAGTGTTTTCTTGTACTTTTAAGCCACTCAGATTCCCCACGGGCTCGGAAATTGCAACGAAATCATCAAATTTTAGCTAGAAACTGTATTTTTGTCGATTTTTATTGAATTTGAACTATATTTCAACGTTTTTTGATGTTTCTGAGCCACCAAACACACTTAAAGCATGCAGAATCGTCCCAGAATAGGAAAAGGAGATGTTTAGGTCAATTTTATGCATTCTGGCGTTCGTAGATACAAGAAAATTGTTAAAATTCTTCAGATACGTCACTTTTGAAGTGTTTTCTTGTACTTTTAAGCCACTCAGATACCCAACGGGCTCGGAAAGTGCAACGAAACCATCAAATTTTAGGTAGAAACTGTATTTTTGTCGATTTTTATTGAATTTGAACTATATTTCAAAGTTTTTTGATGTTTCCGAGCCACCAAACACACTTAAAGCATGCAGAATCGTCTCAGAATAGGAAAAGGAGACGTTTAGGTTAATTTTATGCATTCTGGCGTTCGTAGATACAAGAAAATTGTTAAAATTCTTCAGAAACGTCACTTTGGAAGTGTTTTCTTGTACTTTTAAGCCACTCAGATACCATACGGGCTCGGAAAGTGCAACGAAACCATCAAATTTTAGCTAGAAACAGTATTTTTGTCGATTTTTATTGAATTTGAACTATATTTCAAAGTTTTTTGATGTTTCCGAGCCACCAAACACACTTAAAGCATGCAGAATCGTCTCAGAATAGGAAAAGGAGACGTTTAGGTTAATTTTATGCATTCTGGCGTTCGTAGATACAAGAAAATTGTTAAAATTCTTCAGAAACGTCACTTTTGAAGTGTTTTCTTGTACTTTTAAGCCACTCAGATACCATACGGGCTCGGAAAGTGCAACGAAACCATCAAATTTTAGCTAGAAACAGTATTTTTGTCGATTTTTATTGAATTTGAACTATATTTCAACGTTTTTTGATGGTTCTGAGCCACCAAACACACTTAAAGCATGCAGAATCGTCTCAGAATAAAAAAAGGAGACGTTTAGGTCGATTTTATGCATTCTGGCGTTCGTAGATACAAGAAAATTGTTAAAATTCTTCAGAAACGTCACTTTTGAAGTGTTTTCTTGTACTTTTAGTGACAAATTTCCTGTGTCGAGTGTTGATTTATCAGTTTTCTACGCTTTTCATCTTATTGATATAGTTGCTTGTAAGTTATGTTGTGGACGTAGTTCTTTATTTATTTTTGTGATATATATTCCTCCGGATGTGTCCATTCAAGAATATGAATTATTTTTAGAATGTTTTGAAAATATTGCTGTTGAATTAGATAATATTCTTATAATTGGTGACTTCAATGCTCCTACTTTTTCGAATAATGTAAAGGATTCAAAATCTAATTTAGTATTTAATATGATGTCTTTTTTGAACCTTACACAGTATAACAATATTCGTAACTGTAATAAGGTATTACTGGACTTAGTTTTTACCAATTACGGCAAATGTTTGGTTGAACAGGACACCTGTCCTATTGTGCCAGAAGATCGACACCATCCTGCGCTTAATATTAATTTGGTTTTAAAAACTGGTACCTACGAAAATTTGTCTATGTGTACAGATGTAAAAACTTATAACTTTAAAAAGGCGGACTATGTTTCTTTATATAATGGTCTATTAACCACTAATTGGGATGTCCTGTATGAGTCCACTAATGTGAATAGTGCCTGTGAGACGTTATACAGAATATTGTACTCATTGTTTGATAAACATGTACCATTGTTTAAATGTTCCAAATTCAGTTTCCCGAGTTGGTATACTACTGAACTTAGACAACAAATCATTCTGAAGCATAAAGTGTTTAGAGAAATCAAACGAAAGCCTTCCTGTCATCTTCGAAATCACTTCAGTTCTTTACGTCGTATTGTTAAACAACTCTTGCGTCGGGATTTTAATAACTACATTAAAAATGTTCAGCATGCTTTACTGCGTGATCCTAAATACTTCTGGTCGTATATCAAAGAAAAAAAGGGGCGCTCCAATATTCCCAATAAAGTTCACCTTAACCATAATTTTCATGATAACCCAGCTGATATTGTTAATTGCTTTGCTAAATTCTTTTCTTCGTCTTTTCATAATCCTTCATTGAATAGTTTTGCTCATTCAAGTCAGCTTACAGGTATTAGTAATAGTTGCATTAATGTGGTTATTTCTGAAGATGATGTAAGCAGGGCAATAAAATTACTTAAGGATAGTCAAGTTGCTGGAGATGATCAAGTTCCCAGTTTTCTGGTTAAAGACTGTTGTAATGTTTTCGTTAAGCCCCTAATGCATATCTTTAATATAATTTTAAAAACTTCATGCTTTCCGGATAAGTGGAAAACCGCCAAGATTGTGCCCATTTTCAAGAGTGGTGATGTTTCAGCAGTGAGCAATTATAGACCTATTTCGTTGCTGTGCAATTTTTCAAAAATATTTGAACGTATTCTTTTTAATCAGATCTCCTTCCAAACTAAGTTGTTAGTAAATGAGGGCCAACATGGGTTTACCATGGGCAGATCCACTTTAACGAATTTAACTTGCTATTCCCAAGATATATCTCAGGCTTTGGATAACAGAGGTCAATTGGACGTGATGTATGGTGATTTTTCAAAGGCCTTTGACAGAGTCAACCACCAGCTCTTATTAAGAAAGCTGTCGAATATTGGTTTCTCTAATTCTCTCACAAATCTTTTTGAATCTTATTTGACTAAGCGCAACAATTTTGTGGTAGTAAATGGATTTAAGTCCAACAGTTACATCACAGCTGCTGGAGTGCCGCAGGGCTCCACTCTTGGTCCTTTGCTATTCACATTATTTATTAACGATGTGCTAGATTGTATTCGCTACTCAAAAGTTCTCATTTTCGCAGATGATATTAAAATATACCGTGAAATTAGTGGTAATAGTGACTCCTTGCTTCTTCAAAAAGACATAAATAATTTGGTTTCTTGGTCATTGCTCAACTTTTTACCTTTAAATGAGAATAAATCCTTTATTATTTCGTTCACACACAAGCTTAATGTATGCGAGTTTGATTACAAAATCAATCATCACAGCTTACAGAAATGCTCTTCCATTTTGGATTTAGGTGTTTTGTATGATAATAAGTTCAGTTTTGCAGAACATGTGGAGAGCATTACTTCACAAGCTAAAAGATCACTAGGGTTCCTTATTAGAAACTGCAAAGATTTCACTAGCATTCAAGCTTTGAAAACTTTGTTCTATGCTTTGGTGCGCTCTAAATTAGAATACTGTGCGTTAGCTTGGTTTCCTTATTACAACTATCAAGTAGTATGCCTTGAGAACATACAGCGCAGATTTTTAAAGTACCTCTATTTTAAGGAACAGAAAACATGGCCAACGAGAAATTATCCGCAAACAGCTCTACTAGAAAAATTTGATATGAGTTCATTATTTTGTAGACGTGTTACTGGCGTTATCGTCTTTTTATATAAATTATTAAATAATCAAATTGATTGCAGGGCCTTAACTAATTCTTTGTCCTTTCTGGTACCTAGAACTAGCAGCAGGCATTCTGTAACATTATACACTAGCATTGCTAGAACTAATTTTGGGAGAAAAGCACCGATATATCTAATAAGCTATTTTTTAAAAGAAATAGAAATGAATTCCGATTTTGACATTTTTAACACTAGCCTTAAGTCTATAAAAGACACTGTTAGAATTAAGCTTAAGTAGTTTACACTTTACTTTCAGATATGGTTTTCATACTGTTGTATTTTAATTTAAGTTATTTATTTCTTGATGTATATGCCTAGATTTACAGATTGTGTGTTTGATTTTTGATATTGCAGATAAATGTAGGTATTTATTTCGGCTTTAATTTATTCATTCATTCATTTATTTCTATTTTAATTTTATTTAAGTTAAGTTACTGTTCTTATGTTTCATTATATTGAGATCTTTGATTATTTATGCATTTAATTTATTAATTTGTTATTTTCTTTGATTCTGAATTGTTGTCATTGTTTTTATATTCTTTATAATTGTCCTGTAACTGGAATGTGTAGTTCTGTTGGGCAATAAACTTTATTTATTTATTTATTTATTTATTTATTTATTTACTTTTAAGCCACTCAGATACCCGACGGGCTCGGAAAGTGCAACGAAACCATCAAATTTTAGCTAGAAACTGTATTTTTGTCGATTTTTATTGAATTTGAACTATATTTCAAAGTTTTTTTATGGTTCTGATCCACCAAACACACTTAAAGCATGCAGAATCGTCTCAGAATAGGAAAATGAGACGTTTAGGTCAATTTTATGCATTCTGGCGTTCGTAGATACAAGAAAATTGTTAAAATTCTTCAGAAACGTCACTTTTTGTAGGGATGCTTGATATGTTAAGTTGGCAGCGCGGGCACTAAGCGAGTGCGCGCTGGTGATTGTGAGATAGAAGTTAGACAGTTAGGAGTCATAATAAAAAGCAGCTACCCCTAAGTGTTATTATTCCGGGTTCTTGGGGCTCTCAGGCACGGCCGCACATGGTGTCAGGTGTGAAAACAACCAACGGATAAGTTCGAAAAAGAAACAAACAAGAAAATCCACAAAATGACGGACAACGGCGACGATAAGCAGGAAATCGCTGACCTACGCCAACAACTGAACGTCCTACAACAAATGCTCCAGAATCTGCACTCAACTGCAAAACCAAGCGTAATTAATTCAGTGCCGGCTCCCGAAGCATTTAGTTTCGACAAAAACGAATGGACGGCATGGCTAACGCATAATGAACGCTACAGAATAACGACAAATTTGGACACAGCAGACGAGAAAGTACAAATAAATAGTCTTTTGCTCCACATGGGCCAGAAAGTCACGAAGATTCTCGAAACGAAAAAGAAAGAGGAGTATTCATTCGACACGTACGCAGAGGCGAAACAATTTTTTACTGGCTACTTTGTTGGAACTACAAATATAATTTATGCAAGAGCCAAGTTCAATCGGAGAAACCAAAAAGAAGGTGAGTCCGCACAAGAATATATTACTGCCATTGTTGCTCTAGGTAAAGACTGTAAATACGGACAGTTAGAGGACGAATTGGTTCGTGACCGACTTGTAGTGGGCATACGGGATCAAAAATTATCCGAGTCACTACAATTGACTGAAAAATTAACCCTAGAAATGACGGTAAATGAAATTATGCAAGCTGAGACGATCAAAACAGAAAACCAAGAGCTCAGAGAGGGGGTGCATATAGGCGCTGTCAAGAACAAAAAGCCACAAAAGCAGAAAAGTAGTCGAGAACAAAGGAATCGACCAGAAAAAAAAGAAAAACAGAAACAAATGTATGCGCTGTGGTAAAGAACCAAGCCATCCCAGAACAGAATGTCCAGCCAACAACCAAAAATGCAGAAAATGTCGACTGATTGGTCACTATGGGTCTGAGTGCCGAACGAAACGAATTAATGAAAATGTACAAGCAGATCAAAGTAGCACTGACAACAGTGACTATGAGCTTTATCGAGTTATTAAGGTGAACAGAGTGCAGCGATCCAGCCGGTTTCGCATGACTCTCAACTGTGGTGAAATAAAATTAGTCTTTAAACTTGACACAGGGGCTGAGGTATCGGTCATAACCTCAAAAGACTATGAAGAGAAATTAAAAAATCATTACAGATTGAAACCTACTCGAACAGTATTAGCAGGTTTGGGCCAAAACAGATGTCCCGTACTGGGCAAAATAAAAATTCCCTTAGAAATAGGTGGGAGACAAGAAGTCATTAAAGCCTACGTCGCTGACACGAACGAAAACCTTCTGGGAGAACCAGCTTTGCTGAAACTACAGATCGTACAGCGGTTGGGAAACGAGATAAAAATGATCGATCAAGTGAGGCTAGAAAATAAGCGATCAACCAAAGAAGAAATTCTCGCAAAATGGCCTGAAGTATTCAAAGGTTTGGGGAAGAATACCCCTTCCGTTAATGAAGCAAGTGGAAAAAGAAATAAACAAAATGGTAACACAAAAAGTGATCGAACGTGTGGACAGTCCAACAGAGTGGTGTGCACCTATGGTGGTAGCACAAAAGAAAAACGGTAAAGTACGTGTGTGTGCAGACTTCACGCAATTAAATCAGTTCGTGAGACGCGAACGGTATCAGCTCCCATCAGTGGACGAAACGCTTGCCAAATTGAGGGAAGCCAAGTTATTTTCGAAATTAGATTTCTCTTCCGGGTTTTGGCAACTGGAAATTACACCGGAATCACGAAAATACACCACGTTCATAACACCTTTTGGAAGATACATGTATCGAAGAATACCTTTCGGTATAACATCGGCTCCAGAAATATTTCAAAAAACACTGTATGGAATAATACAAGAACTTCAGTCTGACTGGATACACGTGCATGCTGACGATATTCTAGTCACGGGCAGAAACAGTCAAGAACACAATGAAAATTTGGACAAAGTGCTAACAGTAGTGAAGAAACACGGTTTAACGCTCAACAAAGACAAATGTGAATTCAACAAATCAGAAACCTCTTACTTGGGATATGTGGTTGGAGCGGAAGATATCAAAATTGACCCAAAAAGCATAGCAGCTATTCGTGACTATCCAGCACCCAACAACCCAACAGAAGTCAAACGATTTCTTGGTATGGTAAATTATGTCGCGAAATTTATTAGCAATGTTGCCGAGAAAACCAAGTATCTACGAGAGACGATAAAAAACAGCACGTCATTTGTATGGACAGAAAAACACGAGGAAGAATTCCAGAATTTAAAGGAAACTATAGCATCAGCTCCCGTATTAGCAAAATATGACGTCGACAAACCAAGACGAGTCGCAGCCGACGCCTCAGCATTTGGAATTGGAGCTGTGTTGGAACAACAGCAAAATGACGACAACTGGAAACCAGTGTACTTTTGTTCCAAAACCTTAAGTGACGCGGAGCAACGGTATGCTCAGATCGAAAAAGAAGCACTCGCAGCCACGTGGGCATGCGAACGGTTAGAGCAATTTCTCATAGGATCGCGTTTTTTAGTGCTAACGGACCACAAACCGCTGTTAGTG